GGGGTTCCTAGACTGTCTTTCATCCGGTTGCGATGGTCATTGAGGAGGTCCTGGACCCACTGCCGACCAGATAGGAAAGATGTGTGGTAAGGCTCTGGATTGAGGTGATTCCAGGATTCTTCGATTGCAGTGATAGCGGTGGCAACAGTGACAATGACAGTATGACACTATATAAGGGTCACCCTTGAATGTGTATAAATGGGATTAACAAACAAACAAACAGTCACCACTATTGTAGCCCGTCTACGGCGCTCGATATGAGCCCGATGGACAGATGGACAGCTTGGTGAACGTCGACAGCTGCTCTTGTGCGGACCATGGCAAAGCGGGGATGAAGCAGAGCCCATGTAATAAGTCATAGCTATCAGTATACAAGATACATGTATGAGTTCAGGGCGCTTGTCTCCTCCGGATTTCATGGATACTTCGCCCCTGTAACTCTAACTCGCGCAGAAATCCTCGGAAGTGCTGCCACGTGACATAATGCCGGTGACTCGTAACTCCAACTCTTTGCCGAACAGGCCCTAAGGATAGAATTCTTGAGTCGAACACGAATCCCAGCTCGCTCAGGCTGACGGAGGCGGACAGTCAAGTTATCACGCTCGTGCGCGTTTCCCTATCATGAACAGGAAGTAGAAGCACATATTGCTCGCACTCACCTCCGCCGATGCACGCGGTCTCAGATCAAGATGGTCTGTAGAGAGATTTGGCGATGTTGCCTCCAACGGTACGTCAGCAAACTCTGGTCTGAGTTCCAAAGGGATCATGGGAGGACAGTCTAGTAGCTGTTACAGCGTGTTGCATAAGTCCGTGAATGCGCGGGATTTTTTCTCTCCGGCGTCTACTCTACCCGACCTGCCTAAACAGGCCACATCATGGTCACAGGCCCAGACACGATGGGCAGCGCTCGGGCCCGGGATCCCTTCGCGTGAAACGGAGGTTTGTTTTTGGGACAGTCGTAACTTGTCCCTTTGCCGACGCGTGCCAAAGGACGCTGAAGGGTCGGCAATGGGAAAGTTGTACTTGCTCAGAGGTTCTACAGCCCTTTGACAAAGAACGATTTGAGGCGGTGCCCCTAGTGAGAGCTCCCCTGAGGCTGAGCCTGCTCGCTGGGTCACTGGCATTTCCAAGAGTGAGTATGCCATGGGCCCAGTAGACTTGCGCATAAGTACTTGTAGTCATACAGTGTTTATGGTGCACGGAGATAGTGTTACAAACGCCCTGTGGGGGCGTCTCTTTTTTCTTTCTCCTCGTATCCTCTCTACCATGCATTCCCTCTTCTTACGGCACAACCTGGACACTTGTACCTACCATGGTTCCAACACCATGCTTCATATCCCCATTGTTCTCATCGCTATTGTTCTTTTCGCCATTGTACTACGTGGTCACAACACCACGTGACTCCTTTGTCCCCATTCGCTATTGTTCTCCATTGTTATTGTCCTGTGACTATTGTTCTCCGAGTAGTCAGCGACCGTGTACTTTAGTATATAAGGACAGGTCTTGCACTGGGCACCCCAGTTTGACCTCTTGTACCAATCAAGCGTTCTCACTCCCTAGACCCCTAGTGACCTCGAACCCCCAGACCCCCAGTGAACCAGTGTGCTAAGCTTGTCATCAGTCTGCGTCCTTGTTGTGCATAACCTGCACACGACCCCTTGAGTGCTGACACGCTTCGCCGTAACAGATAGTTTGCATGAGGGCAACAGTCACTGCACGAGATCATATCAAACGGGCCCTTGCCAATGATTACATGACTTGTGATGCTGTGGGTGGCCAGCCTCGAGTCACTCCTAAATGCTTGAGAGTTGGACATGCATATGGTTCATGAAACATGTCGAGAACACGTTGAAGCTACTGCACTGACTCAGGCATGATCATGTATATGCGACTGCACCTTTACTATGGTACCTCCTGTTTAGATCAGGGTACAGGATCCCCCTGGGGGGGCCAATGGGCACTCAAATACAGACATGGAAGTACCGCACGCATATCCATACTTCAAAACATTGTGGATTTACCTGGGTACGCGTGCGGTCAACCAACGGGGCCGTGATGCGCTGTCATCAGCAAAAGTGCGAAAATGCCCCTGACGATTGTCGACATGGCCTGAAGCGCTCGTTCAGGCGCGAGAGGACAGGAGCGCCCAATATGTGGGCAGGAGGGGCCCGTCCTCGCAATACTTGCAATAT